ATTTTGTAAAAGTGTGATGAATCTCGCGGGCCGGAAAAATGTTCAAGGCGGGCCGCGGGTTGGCCACCCCTGATATAGAGTGTCTTTTGTTTTCTAGGACGTCGTAAGGGACAGGGGAAACTACTTGTCATCGGACAGTGCCCTCGGTTACTGGGGGATATTTGAAGACCCGCTAACAGAAATACTCTACACTGGAGGTAAGATTATTTTGTCATTACCAGCATCTCGGAATCAGCTCTTAATCCGTTCCTGTTACAAAGATGAAAATTGTTCCTCGCATAATTCGGTCGGATCTACGTTTCGTTCCAGGCCTATGTTAAAACAGTAATTTTATGATTCGGTTTCCAGGCATTCTTTAAATTGTGTTCTTTATATAAGTTATTTAAAGTTTTAATCACGTTTAAAGCCCATCCGTATCCTTAGATCGCTCTTGCTGGGAAAAAGCTTTTCTCCTTTCTCAGCTATAATAAATATAATTTTAAGAATAAAATACACTTTATTTATTTCAGTAACAAATTTACACTACTTGTTAATTTGTGTTTGCTGTTGAATAAATAAGTGAAACTACGAAGTTCTCAAGTGTTTTAATTTTTTATTTATTTTTTATTTTTATCGAACTGTTATAGATGTTCCGAACTTTTAATATGTATTTTGTAACTTAGCTCAATTATTTCTCAGATGTTTGCCTCAGACTTGAGTCAGATGCTTTTTAAAGCGAATATTATCAGATTGCGCCGTAGAGCCGACATTTGCCATAGTTTGGAAATTAATCCTATCGAAAAGTTGAAGGGTTAAAATCTGTTTCTGGCGACATCTGGATAAATTTTAAAATTACTAAAAAAAATAAAAACTGAAATTCGAGAAAAAACTAAGAAATGTTATTAAAACACGTAAGAATTGTTTATTTAAAATATGGAAACGCTTCAAAAGGAAATCGCACTTTGAAATATTTGTAATCACATTAAAATGATTTCATATTAACATCTATTTTAATTAAATCAGATACTTTACGCCACTATATTTGACATTGTACAGCTTTTGAATGCTTCGATTCCATAACTTTACAATTTTAAAGCCACGCACAAAGGATGCTGTATGTTGGTTAAATTTTCGAGGATTTGAAAATCGTCATTGTGGATATTTCCTATAACGGATTATGCCCTCTGGTTTCTTTGATATTCAGAAGAAATTCTAAAACTAGGAATCCTTTTAGATACCCGGAAGAACCCTTTGGAGGGAAATCAGCCCCTTGCAAGGCTGCCGCCTGTACAACACAACATCACGACATAGAATAAACGCGGACATGATCCTATAGCGAGACTTTGAGCTTCCGTAGACTATGTACGTCTTCAGCCACTGTTCCTGACGTCGTATGCAAATAAATACATTACAAAAAAGATTATTCGTATTTATGAATTAAAGTATAAGCCACGAATAGCGTATTTCATACAAAGGACAGATTTTAAATGACGTCTTTTTTTCTATTTCGACTCAGAGGAGCTCCTCAGCTCGCAACGTCGGAATTTGCGGAAACTATTAAGAACTTACTTTGGGTAGTCCGTCACCTCCAGGCACAGAGTGTTCGTGAAGTAGTCGCAGTTGTCCTTGTTGGGAGACCCGGAAAACTCGCTTCCTGGACCATGTTTCCTCTCAGGCACTGGCGGAGGCCTCAGAGGTGCCGAGGGGTGTTTTCCGGGTGGAGGACGACGTGGTGGCTTGCCCCCACGCAGAGGCGTCGGAGGTGGGGGAGGAACCATTTCTGAAAGAGGACATTTTTTATTTTTTCAAGAAACGATAACAAGGATCTTGAGTCCAAAACTATTTACCCTATCCTGAATCACGACCCAGTCTAGGAATACCAGATTTCGAATTAGTCGTATTGGGAACATCTAAAGATAATTTACATCTTAAAAATAAGATTAAAACTGTTATTTTCTTGTTCGTCGTGAGTTTTGTAATGATCGTGATATTCCGAAGCCAGTTATTTTTTAAAAAAAAAACACAGGGGGTGGAGTGATGTTTCGGCCACAATAGTTTTCCCCTATGGAGCCCACGAAAATGCAATAAATGATTTCTGAATCAACCTTAATACCTTCGCAACAACACATTCGTTTGTTTTTATGTTGAAAGAAATGGATGGAAAAATTGTAATTAATTATTTTTATTTTATTTTATTTGTAGTGTTCTGTCTGACGACAGGTCCATATGAACAGGATCCTTCCATCCTTTTCTCGGACTGGGACCTGTTCATATACGTTCTTGGCAGATGATCCAGAAGTGGTTTGCCATTGCCTTCTTCTGTGTGTGAATGGAGTAATTGTTGGGATGCCACGGAGGAAAACTCCGTGTTGCCTAGACCACGGCCTTGCCCAACACAAGTTATAAATTCGGGCACCGCCGGGAATTGAACCCGGGACCCCAGGCTTACAAGGCCAGCGTTCGGACCGCTAGACCACCGTGGCGGTAATTAATTATATAGGAATAAAATAAATTACGAGCTTAACAATACGAAGTATGAGAAAATGTTAGTTTTCCCACCACGTGATTTATATTAGAAATAAATACACATAAGTCAAATGAAGTTTTTGAAAAATAATAATTTGGTGTCAATATTTCCACTCTTATGTTATTTCTGAGATTCTGTGGTGTCAATAGGACCACAGGGTCCTGAACGTGAACACTGTACCTGTCTGTACTTGGACGTTACGACGGATGTGACTTGATGGGGGTCTGAACGGCAAGGCGGGCCTTATCCTAGGGGCTGGGAGCGGATGTGACGGAGTGACCATGACCCGCCGGTGGGGTGACCCCGGGACCACTCGGAGGTGTCTCAGTTCCAGTGCCTGAAACACAAATTTACGAAGAGTTTAAACTAACAGCAAAATTTCACTAAATCTCAAAAAATGATGCCGATAGCCGTATATGAGGCACGGTTTTCATGGCGGTAAAACTGTTTTACGTGTTTCGACTATGTTATTTAAATATTCATTTCTTATTTCAAAGAAAAGTCTAACAATCTCCATTACAGATAACAATCTTGAATATATGGAAGTGATTGCTGTTTATTATGAGAATTATAAAATATCCCATATATTACGTTAGAATAATTTATATCTTAATTGCGTCATGTTTGTGTTTATTAATACAATAATTTATTTACCGTCTATACACAAACTTAAAAATGTTAAAATTACTTAAAATTATAACATTTTTTCATTAGATACTAGATCTTGTTACATTTTATATTGACGACATGTTTCGATGTGTATTACACCATCATCAGGTCTATCAATTTTAAAAGCTGTTTTAAAAACTATTGCACATCTTGCTTTGCGTATATTGATTTGTTTGGTTTTTAGGTCTCTTCCTTTAAATGTTGTGCGTGGATGTTTAAATATCTGTAAAATTAATTTTCAAATCATGATTTTGGAATTGACATAGGAAATATAATAATTTACAAATTTAAAGAGTTATTACCGTAAATTATTATTATATTTCCTATGTCAATTCCAAAATCATGATTTGAAAATTAATTTTACAGATATTTAAACATCCACGCACAACATTTAAAGGAAGAGACCTAAAAACCAAACAAATCAATATACGCAAAGCAAGATGTGCAATAGTTTTTAAAACAGCTTTTAAAATTGATAGACCTGATGATGGTGTAATACACATCGAAACATGTCGTCAATATAAAATGTAACAAGATCTAGTATCTAATGAAAAAATGTTATAATTTTAAGTAATTTTAACATTTTTAAGTTTGTGTATAGACGGTAAATAATTTATTGTACGTTAGAATAATTCAGAGTTATTGAATTTTAAAGTTAGTTAACCCGAGTTTAAACCATATCCCGTTGATTGAAGTTTAGTCAATAACGGTATAAGTGTCATGAACTTGTGGCTTTAGGTTTGTATTCAGAGACATGACACATTCACATAAACGCAGTGTTCCTTGTGCACATTTGTAATTTTGTTAAATATTTTCAAGGTCACAGATGTAAATTACGCGTTAATGAAGTGTATTCAGTGACCAGTCCCTGGCGGTAACGTACGTCTGTGTCACAGAGCTGTGATAAATTTTTATTTATTTGTAATTTCAAATCTCAAAAATTGATACTATAAAAATCAATGATATTATTTAACCCTTTAAAATCGAAAAATAGAGAGATAAGAAGGATAACAGATGAGTAGGAACAATGAGAAAATTGATGGAGAGGGGTAGAAGAGCATCTTATAGTTAGAAGGTTCCCAGTCAATGCCCGCTCGTCCTTCTGGTAAGGATAACGTAAGAGAATCTCATCTAAATAGCGATTAAGAATTCAGTCCGTACCGCAAAGTAAACACACTTCATCACAGTAAAGATTAACGCTGTTTAAAGGAATAGTCGCTGTTTAGAGATAGATTCTTACGTAACTAATGAATACAAAATGAACAGTTATTGGCTTGAAGCAGGTTGGACATTCATTTACCGCTGGGCTTTAGAGGGCTGTGGAATAATGAATTAGAAAGGATCTGAAAGGAAGCGATCGTTACCAATTTAAGCACGGGGGTAGAAGTGGAATTGTACGCAGCTAACTTTAAATGGTTAAATGGAGGCAGCAGGGACCTCTGGTGGACATCTGCCAGACTACACGGCGCAACAACCCAGAAGATAGAAATCTCTTTGCTTGTCATTCTTTCCACCAAAAGATTCCTTGTTTACAAGGCTCTGTAAATTACATCTGTCATTGGAAATTAGAGATTCAGACAGAGTTTTTGAATTACAAAGAGAATTCTTACTCTTTTCCTACGCCACAAACCCTGTAAATGGTACAGAAATTTTTGGTTTTATAAAGCCAGTATTTTTGGCAGGCATTCCAGATAGTAATCTGTTTTGTTCTTGTCGTCGATTTCCCTTGTGGTTTTCTGTCATAGTTTAAATTCCGAGGCGGATCCTTCACACATTTCGTAGACCCCCGGTGAAAGCGAACCGGCCTTTTTTTAAGACAGATAACCAGAGCGATGTTCCATCTCCCCGTCATTTTTAAACCCGTTTTAAGCAGTACGTAATCTTCGGCACTCTATCTGCCTTCTCTGTTCGTGGCTGTAGATTTAGGGAGATTTTGCTCTGTGAATTTCACTTATGTTGACTTGGGACGTTAGGGTTATAATAAATATATATATTTAAATGCAATTCTTCGACTGAATATTCGATTAATGATGAGTTAGAAAGGACATGGCCTGTTTTAAGGGACTGAAGTGTCTGAGAATAACCACGAAAATGGCAGCCAGGATAAATTGTCTCTACCCGAGTTTCAAGATGTACAGCACTCATGTTTAACACACAGGATTGTTAGAAGACATATTTTAATGTTTATTTATTAAGTTATTTTTGTTTCTTGTGGCAGCTACAAGGATCTAGCCCGCGGTCGTTTAAAAACTATCTCAGTGGTATAAAAATCATTGGGTCACTGACGTGATCTTTATTTTCCCACGTGATAGCTGGCGGAATTGAAGCTAGGGCCGTTTGAAAAGTTCATTTGATAACAGGCTTGCTTAACGATCATCAGAGTTTCTGGGCTGGATCATGGTTCGGATTAATCGGGCTTTCGGAGGTGATTTGAAACGGCAGTCTCTTGTTCGTGGATCAGATACGTTTCCTCTGAAGCTGTCGGAATGCCTGGTCCAGTAACTCCATGATTTTATCAGGAAACAAAGCGTTCATTTTGCCCGTGGTTTGGACAGCGGAACGTACGATTTGCTGTCTGTAAACGATAATAATTTCTATTTGTTGTAAGTAGACAGTCAGTCCATTGAGATAAATGCGTGTAACAGATCTTTCACTTTCCGGATCTCTCGAGTCGCATTGGTATCAGGCGTAATCAGCGGATATAAGAAAGCGGATTTATTGTACCAGAACTCAGTTCCCTTTCAAGAGAGCACACGTTATTTTGAACCCCATTTTACTAAGGCTTCATTGCTAGAGACAAGATATTTTTTAAAAGAATTATAATGAATAAGACTGCATACATCCTAAAGTTTGTTGAGTTGACACTAGGACATTGTGAAAGAGATTTAATTACGTTTGGAATTAATTATGTTATATCTCAAGTAAAAATGATCTGTTCACGCCGATTCCAGCCAAATGCTACATCACACTTAAGCCGAAAATGATGACTGAATGGAGAGAAGGCTGCCATATTTATCACGTACGTAAGTTACCACAGGGACGTTGCTCGATAAACATGATTCCTTTGATCTTCTGGGTTGTAACACCATGTGGGCTTCTAGGTAGGGACGAACGTTTCGAAGTAGCATATTGATTTCATCTTCAGGACGTAAGTGAGGTTGTGGTTTGTTATACAGAGTTACGAGAAGGAAGGAACTGCGGTAAATTTGTCAGAAACATCCCCACATCATCCCTGTCTTGTTCTGTATAAGGGACTTTTCTGTTCCCTCGGACCATCTCCAAACTGTTAGTATCCCCATCAGCATTACTTCGTCTCTGAAGATGGAGGTAGTATGTTCCTGCGAAACGTTAGTATCTTTCTGCAAAGACCACACAGCTTTAAAACCAACACAGAATACTAACATAGGCGTCATAATCTCTCCAAGAACCTCAAATATATTTAATGTATTTGTGATTGTCAGTGACTCTTATGTAGAATGAGAGGATAATTAAGTAATGTTGAAGAAAGCGACCGTGGCCAATTTTAAGGTTCCATCCCGGCGTTTGCCTGAAGGGATTAATGAAACTACGAAAACTCTCGGCCAGGATAACCTGTGTCTACGGGCCGAGGCAGGCGACAGCGAATGAACAACTCGAAAGCGCGAACAGTATATTTTAAAGCCGAACTTTATTTGCCATGAAAATCGTTTATTAAACTCTTGGCTTCAACCGGTTACGAGGATTTTGACTCTTTCGTTCATATTTTGTCAGAAGTCATGTCTTCTCTCAGCCCTTCTATTTATATTCATAGCAGAACTTTTCTGTTTCGACCATTTCATATTCTTTATTTACTGTAAAGCGACTTAAGAACGACTGTGTCCCACTTACATCCGGAGTCTTCGCCGCGACGCCCCGGAACATATTTGCGATGTCGAGAGACAGAGGCAGGAGTAAAGCTGACGTCATATTTTTACGTTGCTCCTCGCCGTCCTGAGGACCGACGCCGAACATGGCAAGGACGTCGTCGAGAGTAGGTGAAGCTGACGTCGGCGATGACACCGCCTGTGCCGTCAGCAGGGCTGCCAGCGTCAGGCGTTGTGGAGGCGACATGCTCCTCAGGATAGGCAACACGTGACTCAGTTGTTGAGACATCTCAGGACGTTTCAGAGCGTCTAGCATGGCCCTATATATTAGAGACTGTTTCTTCATTGCAGTCGAGGGGAATTTGTCGTCACTTTCGTTGACGTCATCGTTTGTAAGATTCAGATCCGTTGAAGGGTGGAGACTACTTCCGGTTGTGTCTTCATCGTCCAATGGAAAATCTTCGTCTAGGCTTAAGTCGTCCAAATGGGATTCTGCGTGTGAGATTGTGATGGATGACAGGAGAAGAACCTGTAAATATATAAGAACAGATATTCAATTTGTATCTTATATGCGTCATGTTTGTGTTTGATTAAATATATTTATTTTGTACAGTCTGTACACAAACGTTTGAAGTTTATTGGTGTTGTAAAAATTATATAATATTAAAACATTTTGTTGTGTAAAATATTATATTAGCGCTCTTAATCGTAAATACGATTTTACATTATATTTTTTTAGCGCTTTTATTAAAACGACATGTTTCGACGGGTAATACCGTCGTCTTCAGGTTTTTATCAATTTAAAATATTTTAAAAACTATTAGATATTTGATGCAATATATTATAATGATCCGTAGTTCTGTTTGTAGCTTTCCATTTTCATGGTAAGTTGTTTATTGTAGTCAGACGTTATATTTATCTGTGGAATTAATGTTTAATTATTTTCTTGGAATGAGTATGAATTGACATAGGAAATAAATAAATAATCGTATAAATATATATTAAAAATAGTAAACGAGGAACATAACCAAATTGATAAAAACCTGAAGACGACGGTATTACCCGTCGAAACATGTCGTTTTAATAAAAGCGCTAAAAAAAATATAATGTAAAATCGTATTTACGATTAAGAGCGCTAATATAATATTTTACACAATAAAATATTTTAATATTATATAATTTTTACAACACCAATAAACTTCAAACGTTTGTGTATAGACTGTACAAAATAAATATAAGAACAGATAGTTTTATGCCGACAGGAAAACGTGGACTAAATTAAGTTAAATTTATTTCTATCGGATATTGTAAGTGGTGGAAAGATCTTCTGAAGTATTACGTTCGAAATTAACAGTCTATGTTACAAAGAACATTTTGTTGGTGTACTGTACATGTGAAGATTGGTAGATATTCTGCGAAGAATGACGAACAAGAATTCTCAAACACATTTTGCGAGACAAAACAAGACAGTCACGATGCGGTAAGAGAGAGAGAGACTTGTGGGATTAGTACGTAACGGTAGTTCGTTTGAAGTCTCTAAGTGTAGCGTTAAAAAGTGTTGTTACGTATTCGTAAAGTTTGGGTGGGAACCACTGTCTAAATTCGGCTAATATGGCGGAATCCTTTCGTAGTTTTCCTCAGACACATTACAGGGAAATAGTGAGGTATTTATTATCTTAACCAGGTCAGTTTACATTCCTCCATTTCAGTACTAACTCATCACAATAATTTTGTTATTTGATACAATATAACCTGATGTTTAATACCAGATAGATCAGGTTTGTAGCAATTAGCTGACCTGAGATTATTAGCTTCTGCGCTACGTTATATATGAACTTAAAAATTAAAACTAATATTAAGAATTTTAATATTTTCCGTCAAATCACAATCTTTAATAAGATAATAAAATATAAAATATTTAAAATATCATTTCACGTTCCGCATCGAATGATCGATTTACAAATTGGAACGTCTCTTACGATGCGGAACGTGAAATGATATTTTAAATATTTTATATTTTATTATCTTATTAAAGATTGTGATTTGACGGAAAATATTAAAATTCTTAATATTAGTTTTAATTTTTAAGTTCATATATAACGTAGCGCACCGGACAGAAATTACTTAATAAACAACTGAAAGGAATCTAAAGTTACTGTCATCCTGGATTCTTTGCTTGAAAGACAGAACTACGCATTCGTTGATACCTCTGACGGCGAGGAATCTACCCTGGGCTGGTAACACACTTTACATTACAGCTCATGAGAGACCCATATTTAAGCATTACCTTGGGACCAGGTTAAATTATTTTATAAATACCTCTTAAATGAATCCGTCACTGTTACAGCACACGAAGTGACCACCCCAACAATTATTCCATAGAGCAGAGTCTTTCTTGAGAAGCTGAAGGTAGCTAAGCTAGTCAGTCAAATTATTCACGTTTTAAGTGAGTCGAAGGTTCATTACGGAGTTCACAGGAAACCGCCAAAGGTCATTGTCCCGAGTCAGATGAAACCAGGCCACGTCGTCTCACAGTATTCCTCTGAGACCAGTTTTAATATTATCCCATAACCTGTGCATGTCTCTCTCACGTGTGGGTGGGAAACTTGGTTTTTCTGCCAGGCTAAGAGGAGAACACAGATTGTGAGAGTTCGAGAGCAGGGCATTGAGAAGAAAGAATATTTGAAATTAAAATAATAAACAGAATGAGACTGGGGAAGACAGCACAATGAGAAACTTCATAATTTGTAACATTCGCCAAATGTTGTTAAGGTGGTTGAATAAATGAGGACAGACGGCAGGGGAATGGAAGTGAGACACAAAAGATAATATTAAAATGTACTCGTTAAAACAGCAGAGAATAAACCACTCGGAATATAACATTGGAATCGATTAAAATAATCATAAAACTTAGGGTGTCGTAAGATTCAAGGAATTTGTTTTTACCAGCTGAGCCACTGTCACTTTCTCAAGGACTACATGGAGTTAGTTAAAGATTATTAATATTCACCTGAGTGCCATCTGTAGATATGCTGCTAATTTATGGTTTTTTCATTAGGCACAAGAATAACTTTATTATTATTATTATTCCATCTATTCACCACTTTTATTCACAATTTATAACTTGTGTTGGGCAAGGCCGTGGTCTAGGCAACACGGAGTTTTCCTCCGTGGCATCCCAACAATTACTCCATTCACACACAGAAGAAGGCAATGCGAATTTATGACTTGTGTTGGGCAAGGGCGTGGTCTAGGCAACACGGAGTTTTCCTCCGTGGCATCCCCACAATTACTCCATTCACACCCAGAAGAAGGCAATGGCAAACCACTTCTGGATCATCTGCCAAGAACGTATATGAACAGGTCCCAGTCCGAGAAAAGGATGGAAGGATCCTGTTCATACGGACTTGTCCTCAGACAGAACACTAAATAATATAACCTGAGAAAAACCTAGCCTCTGAGGTATTTCTGAAATACATTTTATTTTTAATACGTGTTACATGTATTATATAGTTTTATTGTGAGGAATGACTATATATTTTACGACAGCGTCTTTCGAATGACGTATGAAGATCCTAAAATGGCGGTCTTATGAAGTTCCCTGATGTCGTGATCGCCTGGGATTTAGCCAAATATTTTCTGAGTGACTTGGATACAGTTCCATTTGCTCCTATAATTATTTGGATTCCTCGTGCTTTCACTTTCCACATTCGCTGTATTTAAATGAGAAGGTCACGTGTCATTAGTCTTAGTATTTTGTCCGACAGTTGCACTACTCAGCGTTATGAACGCGTCACCCTTAATCCAATCTGTCACCCAATTCTCATCCACCGAAGCCGGAAGCCAGGCGCTGAAATGCACTGTAGTGTTACAACACATTTGTCGCTTAAATATATTGTTCTCGGATAATACAAACCATGTCTTCCGATTAACTCCGGTCTTCTTGTGGTTTCATGTTGTATTCTGTCCCCCTTTTTATTTCTGTTGTGTCATAATAATCCCAGAAGTTCTGAAGCTGTCGCCTAGAACATGCATTCTTTTGCAGATGAGTTGAATTCTGCTCACGTAACTGTGTCATTTGGAACCTGGCACTTCATTCTAAACATTAGTCACAATAACTGATGGTATTTTGATTAACTTCTAAGATTTACGTGAATTACTCTCAATTTCTTTTGAAATTACGGCACAGTTACACAAATTTGTAAACCATGCCGGGTTACTTGTGGATATTTGCAGTTTGCTAATCACATTTCAGGTATAATTCGAAGCATTTGGATGCTTCAGAACAAATTAGGTCTTACGTAGTCTGTCAGCTGTTTGACATCTTCGCGTATTCACAATACAATGTTACAAAAGTCCACTAATGGCTTTACAGACATCTGTTCGTGACGAGATGACCGCTCAGTTAATAAAAGAAATCTCCCGTCTTTTGTTGAAAATTATCTCGAGCTAGGTCAGTTAAATCCAGTCCATCATTAACGATACTTTTTAATAGTATTCCAATTTGCCCTGTAGATGAATTGTTATATCTAAATCCAATAAAAGTCGATCAATCGAAATGATTTATCTTGATATTCAGCATTTATTTATTCACAGCATCGGGAGGAATTATAAATGAAGAGAATTGAATTTTATTTCTGTACTGATTAATTTAATGTATTTGGTAAAAATGTAATACCACGGCGAACGCCGTGGAACTTCAACCACTTGTTAGTAAGGCGGTACATAATCTGTTGGTCCGAGAGTGTGAATTGTAATTAATTAGGGGAAAAATAAATAACATAACACAGAGACTGTCAGTACTAGTAAAGAGATTGGTCTACAAATATATGCAGAGAAAATTATATAAATACATTTCCACGTCACGTTTGGATAATGCATGACTGGCCGAGTTATGGCCAAAGGATAACACAGATAAAAGTCCTCTAAACTTGTGATAATGTTAAAATATTTTAAAACCGCAATGGCAAATTTTATTGAGAATTAAATTAAGAGGGCGTTATTTCTGGAAGTATTTCTTATTGTGAAGTAAAAGTTAAGGTTATTGTGGCGTTGAGTTCGAAGGTAGATGTCTTCCAGATTACACAGCGGTACAGCCCAAAATACAGCGAGACATTTCCGTATCGTTACTTTACTTTTTTTTATATTTCCCTGTATCCTATACAACTATCGTACAAATGTATTTAATACGTAAAATTGTAATTATATTTGTTGTTTTTACATGTGTGAACATTTTATCTGATTCTTTAGGTGGTTAGCAACGTTTCCGAAAAATACTACCTCCATCCTCAGGGCAGAAGATGGAGGAAAATAAAGGTAGCATATTTCTCCGAAACGTCGGTAACCACCTGTAAAACTGAACTTTCGCCGTCGTGCGAACTCCATATCTCGAGTTTATTCTTTTTTATTTTAATTTTTAGAAAAGTTTTATTTACTCACGGTTTGCCCCGGTGTACTTAATTAGGCTTTTGTTATGTCGAAACTCTCTTGTCAAATAGTGAACATTTCTGTACGTCGCTCATTAGAAAC